CTTTTTTGGTTTTTAGTTATTTTTTGGTTCTTGGCTCTTTACTTTTTGGTTCTTTTGGTCCTTAGAGTATCGCTAACAGCATAGTTAAATGGTAAAAACATACTATTTGTACGTCACTATCGTCTGTAATGATATGCACTCGTTCGGAGCCTTCCATTGCTGCCACTCGAATGTTACTATCCGATAAGTTTCGTTTTTCAGACGCTGGCAGTACACTTCGCTTCAATGCCTCATTTTTTACCTTAAAATATCATTTTTAAAAAAAATTGATAATAATAAATTATGCAAAAAATAAAAAACTATCGACGGAAAACACCTAATGAGAAAAGACTGAAAACGACTACATAAGAGCGGAGTAGAAGGAAATTCAAGGAGCTTCAAGCACATATAAGCTTCAATCTTCTTCGACCTAACAAGGAGAAATCGCGGAAAATCTCTGAATCGAGACGCCGATTTATCAAAAATTCCCTTTTTTCAAGTCGCATTATTTCTATTAAGCAAATTAGCAACTCAAGGAAAAATAAGGCAATTTCGTAACAGCAAACGGCACCTTTGAACAAATTCGATGTCTTAACTCTTCCCCCCCCCCGCCCCCAACCTTGTCGCGGAACTTAAAACAGAATCTAATCCACGCAAATCCCAATAATTTCCTACTGATGTATTGAATTTTTTGGAGTCTTTGTTCAGTGTTAGTCAAATATCCAATATGCATCCAGCAGAGATAATAAAAATTTTCTGCGTTGTTAAGAAACGATGAAAAAAAAGCTCATACCAGCTGCAATTGTTCATTTATTCTGTTCCTTTTCAAAAGCCGATCAATTTGCAAATTACTGAAGGCTCTCGAATCGTCTGGAATCTGAAAATTTCCAAACTTTCTAATCAAATAAATGTCAAAGTATCATAAAATTGCGTTAAATATATTACTTTAGAATAAATCCGAAAATTTTGCCGTGTCTCATTTTGGCAAAGTTTTAGACCAAGAGGAAAAAAAAACCCCTATTTTACTTCCTCCGGACCCTTCAAATCGTGATATTAAAACAAAATACCGCCCCCTCCCCCCATTCTTCAACCCTAACAACTTAAACATTTAAAGCAGTATGTCTAACAAACATACACATAAGCTCTATAGCATATCCTGGCTGCTGTAGGCGATCTAGAGGGGGAAGGGAAAGGGGAGGGGGTCTTTCGCTTCCCC